GTGGGGTCGGCGAGACACCGCGGAACTCAGCCTGGGCACACACACAAACTCCCAGCCAGGCTGCGGGTGTGTGTGTGTGTTCGGGCTGGGTTTCGCTGTGTCTCGCAGACGGCCACTGGGCCCACAGGGAGGGGGGGGGGCAGGAGCTCCAACAAGCCGTTTAGGACAGAGAGTGAATACACATACTATACAGAGATGCTGTATGAGAAACCAATGTGAGTTTGGAAAACTGCTCAGTATAAATCTATTCTAGTAGACCTCAACAATGGAATTATGATCAGTAGAAATGGCCATGACATGGGACCTTAAACTAAATTAAAGTGAAATGTCACTGTTTTATGACATTCTTTAAACTTAATGATTATTTGTTAATCTATAAAATACTTCACTGCTAAAAACAATATTGGGATGCTGTCTTAGTTCTTATCTTACTTTTGCAGGGAGTACTACACCCTTTAAAAAACCTGAGAGATGCATTGCATTTTGGGCTGAAGAGACATGTTGTGTGTAGTGTCATCTAATAATATGTAAGCTCACCTTTTTGCAGCTGAATCAGCCATGTTTAGCTGAGTTTGACTTCTTTTAAGTTACATGTTAAATCCATAATGGTTAGTTAAAGAAGCTGCCACTTTGACAAAGCGGTAATTAATGCACAAAAGATTCTCCACAATACATTCAATATTTTCAATTTTTATTCCGAGGTTTTATTACTGTTTCAACTTTGATTTACACAAGCTTTTTGACTGCTGTAACTTGATTTTCATTTGTACTCGTTGTTGATGATCTTTTTGCTGCTCCAGTTGCTGAGGCGGAGGTTGATGGAGTCGTCGATGTGAGCAAACAGCTGGAGAAGCAGGCGATAGAAGACAAAGAGAAAGAGGAGGATGGCGAGGAAGGTGATTGTCTAATTCACCTGATACACACACGCATCATCTTCCTACTAAAACAATATATTCATGCATCACGTGAGCTTCAAACTTAGTGGTTCGTGTAACTGACATATCTTCAATCAAACAGATGGAGAGGATGGAGAAAACTCAGCAGGGAAAAAGAAGAAGAAGAAAAAGAAGAAGAAAGGACGTAAGTTGACCACATTGAAATTAGTCAATGCTGCAGAAAAATATGTTTAGAGTTAAGCTTTATTTAATGCTGCTGTGCTGTGAAGGAAATCCCTCTCCCAAAACGAAGAACTACTTTCCCAAGATGAAGTTTTGTCTTTTCTTTCCAGCCAAAACTCAGACTGATCCTCCATCTGTTCCCATCTGTGAGTTGTTTCCAAGCGGAGTATTCCCCATTGGACAGGAGTGTGAATACCCCACCTTACATGATGGGTAAGAATAGCACACACACACACACACACACACACACACACACACACACACACACACACACACACACACACACACACACACACACACACACACACACACACACCCCTCTGTAAGTATTGGAGCCAATTTCCTTATTTTTCTTCATTTTATACATTTCACTTGCAGTTTTGACTCTTCTACACAATTGTGCTTTCTCCATTCATATTGTTTATCTCTCTTTTCCCCCTTTTATCTTCCTTTAAAGCATTTTTCACGTACATTGTGCTCCTTCATAACAAAATCCGAGGCTAGTCATTGCAGGTCATCTAAAAAAAACTAAAAAAGTTCTTCAAAAATCATCACTACAATTTTAAATATACAGTCGTTTATGAATCTGTTGATGCAGGTCACTTCTATTTTTTGATCAATTATCAAATGTAATTCTAAAAGTGGTTGTGATATAGTTGGAACTGTGTACAAGCTACAGTGTGCTTCTGTGCAGATGAACTCGGTGACCCTGGTCAGATGATATGGGCCGGAGGTGTCAGGAGTTGTTTTTTTATTATGTTGTAAAATAATTTCCTGCCTGCTGTGTTATTATGTTGACTTTCCCCTCTGACTGTCCAGCAATGCTCCACTTCTAATAAAGCCATCTTCTTCTCTTGAGGCCTAAAACTAATGAGTTGTTGTGTTCTCCTCTCAGTCGCAGTGCAGCGTGGCGTACGACCAGTGAGGAGAAGAGGGTTATGGACAAAGCCAACGAGGAGGTGTGGAACGACTTCAGGCAGGCGGCCGAGGCCCACAGACAGGTCCGGCAGCACGTCCGCGGCTTCATGAAGCCTGGCATGACCATGATTGAAATCTGGTGAGACTGGGCTCTTCAACTTCATCGTTTACGCCAACATTCTTTAATATTTTGAGTTTTTGTATTGCCAGCACTGCTACAAGTTAAAACTGCAGCTGTGGCATTTAAGCTATTTGTTTCAGTTTGATCTAAAGAGACCTCACCTTGTATTTAGCCAAAGCCTTTTGTATGTTCAACATTGGGAGAACCAAGCTGCTGCATCTTTCGCTAATTTCCCCAATGAATATTTCTTTATTTCCGCTTCTAATTGATCTCCCCTCCCTCCCCCAGTGAGCGGTTGGAGGACTGTTCCCGTAAGACGATCAAAGAGGACCGTCTGAACGCCGGCCTGGCCTTCCCCACCGGCTGCTCCCTGAATCATTGTGCTGCCCACTACACCCCCAACGCCGGAGACACCACCGTGCTGCAGTACGACGACGTCTGCAAGATCGACTTCGGCACACACATCAACGGTACCGCGGGAACTAAGAGCTGCTTGAGTTACACTTTGTGCTGATGATGATAAGGGATGCACTCTGAATCCGTTATGGAAAGACATTTCAGCTGTGGCTCAAGGTTTACACTTACATGTAGCTAATGGTTTTTCCTTCATTACTGTACAGAATGGAAATCAATTGTCAGACTCCTGGTACTGATGGGTAGTTCACCACGATGGTTTGAGCTGGTAATCATTTTCAAGTTTTATCGTTGTTGTAAGTGCACAATGATTTGAATGTAACCAGTTAAATCTTGCAAGAAACAGCGTCTGAGGGCCTCTTAACATTTAACAAACTATGAATGTGTCATATGCACTTAACGGG